GAGAACTTAGTCTGTTTTTAAATGCATGCAAGGATTTGACTGACCTCACATCAGCAGGACAAGATGTTCTGGGGAGCTAAAAGGTTCATGAGAAGGAATTCAAAGGTAATTCTGTATTCAACTGGGAACCCGTGAAGTCACTTCAATAATGGGATAACATGTTCACATTTCTATGTACATGTTAGGAGCCCAGACAAGTTAAAGTTGTCCTACTGATGATTCAGATAATCCCGGTAGTCGAACCTGCTCGTGCTCGATATGAAAGCATGGATCAGTTTCCCAGAGTTGGTTTGAGAATTTTTAACTTGCGGGATATTAAGTTCCTGAATATGATACAAAAAGCTGTGATCACTGTCCAAAAACGATGCCATGGTTCATGGTTCCTGACCTGCTCACCGAGTTTCAGAGAAAAGGATGATGCATTTAAGACGTAGCTCTTGGGTTTCTGTGCAGTTTCTCTGGGCACAGGATGGTCTGAACTGGGGTGAATTTAGCTTTTATAGAGGTGTTCACACTTCCTGTTGATCAGTTAGTCAAGTGCATTTGATTGGCGGCGCCTGGCTGCTACTTGCCCTCGTAACTCCTAAGAAAGCAGTGAGGGTGTACTGAGACAGGAGGCTCTTGACAACATTTCATAAATGTGTGCACGTGAGTTTGGGTTTTTTGCAGCAGCAGTACCAGGATGTGATGTGAGCCCGCTGACCTTTCTCTAATGCCCTGTGTTGTCTTTGTGGTGGGCAGATGAAGGGCTGCATCAAGGTGCTGAAAGAGCAACCGTCTAACAGTGTGGAGGGACTCCTGAATGCACTGAGGTGAGTATGAATGTAGAAGAGTAGAAAGGTACAAATCTCCTCCTCCTTCCTCGCTCTGAATAAATGTGAATGTGACATGAATGTGCTTCTGCTTCTTCAGATACACGACACGGCATCTACACGATGACAGCACCTCCAAACAAATCAGGGCCCTCCTGCAATGAAACAAAGAAGAAAAAGAAGCGACCAGGAGGGGAGGAGGAGGGGAAACGAAGGAGCGCACTTGAAGGAGGAGGAAACAAACGCTGATAAACCTGTTTGTTTACAACGAACAAAGAGAAAAATCATCTCCGGGGTTAAGTGCGACCTGATGACAATAAGAAGAGGAAAATAATTATATATATTGTCAGCTGTCCATCATTCTGTCTCTCATTTTGTAAAGTAAGAAAAGAAGAAAAAAAAGAAGCCAGAAAAGAAGATATAGATATATATTAAGAAAAGTGAAACACTGAGCAGCAGGTGAAGAATAGGTAGGATTAAAGAGGAAGCTATATTGGAAGATTTAAGGTCAGAACCAACTGAAAGTGTACGAAACAAAAAAGGAAGAAAAAAAAAAAAGAGGGTTAATGTTCCAGAAGTAGTCTGACGAGTATTTTTGCACACACTTTGAAAACATCTCCTTCCCCAATGAAATCTGATCCCAAACTGGTTCCCATTGCTTGAACTGGAGGGGCTCTCCTTCAGCTGCACTGGTCTCCACCGACGGGTGAATCATAAAGCAATGTGATGGATACACTCCGGAGATTTGCTTTTACCTGTTTCACTTTCTTTCTGGTGCAGCTGGAGGAAAGCAGGCAGGCGGAGACGGGACGCCTCTGTTTTTGCCCCGATTTCTTCCTCATCATCCATCTATCAAGTATATGCTTTTTTTCCTTTAAATTTCTCCTCATCACCAACAAAACTGTAAAAAATAAATAAATAAATAAAGATCCGCCCGTGTCGTGTGCCCCGATGCCGTTTATGTTCCTGCACACAAAAACCATCTTGCCAGCTTGCTGGCTTTACTTGAACTACGTCCTTCACTCTCTCCATGGTGCTAATGTGGTTTATCGCAGCTTCTTATCTGATATCGTTTGGCTGTGATGTGGGACATACAGTGATTTTGTCATCCTCTTCTTTTGTGCACAAGTTAGCCACGATGGCGAGTGAGCCTTCAGCATCTCGGTGCGTAAAAAAAGGGGGTCAAATCTGAGAGGGCGTTTTTAGGGAAACCGCAGCACACTTTTAGTTCTTCACCCAGTGCCAAAGCTTATTCTGTTATTACATCGCACGTGAGTCAGGCTTGAGGGTTTGATGGTATTATTATATCACTCATCTTTCTTTTCTTTTTGTAAAAGAGGATTAAAAAGCCGAGACACACGTGAAAAACAAGTGGGAAGGTGGTCCGATTTACATACATTTTAAGGGCGATCTGAGTGTTCCGGTGTAAATACGTGAAGCTTTTCACAGCGGGCATCCACATGTTCCCCGTCGGGGAATATGAAAAAACCACCATCACAAACTCACACATAAAAACTCGAGTGCTTTCTTTTAGAGCGAGGTTTAAAAAGTCCATCAATAAGTGGGAAATAAAAATGAAACTAAAAATGATCCAAAAGGAGATTCAAAAGAAGTGCTGTAATGTCTAGAGCCCTTAGTCTTATTTAATTTGATCTTATAATATATTTTCTATACAGGGGTATGTGCGCGAGCATATTCTGTATAAATACATAGATGGCATGTTGCAAAAGTTCTGACAGAAATGTGTAAATAAGGTGTTTTTATTCATTTTTAATCGTTCAGTGATGCTGAAATTGGGTATGTGTTGTCTCTCAGAATTACCATGCGTTTGGCTTGGACCATCGGACTTGCCGTAGTCATAGGTTTCAGAAATTCAGCTTCATTAATGGCGAATGAACCGGAGGGAGGGGAGGGACGCCAAGTGGGGAGGGGGCCGGGGCTGTCCATTTGCTTGTTATTTTGTATATTTTGTGCAACAATAAACTTGTCATTTATTACATTCAACAACAGCCGTCCTGTGTCTGTTCAGTCATGTGTAGGAGTAATGGTGCTGGGGGTGTGATGTCAAAAACTGCAAGTGAAAATCACATCTATAACAGGGCTGTCAAACATAAGGCCCGCGGGCCAGAATCAGTCCGGCAAAAGCTCCAATCTGACCCATTAAACAGAAGATTGGAAAATGTAAAGAAGGATGTAAATTCGAAAATTTTTACTATGTTTTTAAGTTTTACGTATTTTCCACTTCCCCCTTGGCTAGTCGTACTGCATCACACCAAACTAAATAAGTAAAAGATAAACAATGAAATGACAGAAAGTTCCTGTTTTTTCACCACTATAGAAATGTAGGATTTTTATCATGAGCTTGCTGTAAAAACAAACAAAAGAATAAGAGGACATCATGTCAATTAACAAAACAAATGTTCAATTTATAATTTAGGTACATCCTGTATGATGAATTAACAGAACTTTTTCTGTCATTTTAAACATCTTTTTCTTACAATTTAATCCCAAAGCAGCATGTCTTTCGCATGTAGAAAAACTGAGATGTTGCTGAAATTGCACTTCTTCTTTTTTTATATTAAAAATGTGCAGTTAGACTTCTTCACACTGACAGGAAGAGAAGCTTCACTGCTCCAGCCCACTTAAGATCATAGCGGCCTGTACTCTGCACACAATGTAAAATAAACGTGACGTCCCCGCTCTAAGGTAAACTCTCAGTAACAGTGGTGTAGTCTGCGGCTTTAAATTACAGGAAATATTTGACTGGAAAGCAATTAAATGATTATATTCAAAGTCATTACAAATTTGGAATAAATCATAAAGTGTTAGTTACTTTTCAGTGTTTCCTTTGGTTTAACTCAGTCCAATGAAGACACCTAGTTACATGTGTGAGTGTTTAATGTAAAGAAACAGTTTCACAGTGTGCAATATTGCGTAGGTCACAGTGGTTTTGCAATAGTACCCACAGTGGGAGGGCAGGTGACTTTAATGGTGCAGGAATTGGTCTGTAACTGCAGGATGTAAACTCCAAATTTTGCACAAGAATGTAAAACTTTATTTTTTTTTTTTTAACTAGAATTATTTGCCATCAATCCCCATAAATCTGTTAAAAAACTCTCAGAGTCAAGCTACTGCTCCTCCCAGTTGAAAGGAGTTGGGTGAGGCGTTTCAGGCATGTCCTACGCCGAGGAGGCCCTGCGCCAGACCCAGGACACGCTGGAGGTTACATCTCTTGGTTGGCTTGGAAAAGTCTCGATGTCTCCCTGGAAGAGCAGAAACTGGATGGACTGATAAAGAACACAATCCACTGCATAAAAAATATAAAAATGTTAAAACTGGATTTAAACATTTTAAATAAACCAATAAAATTTTTATTTTCATGACTAAAACAATCCACTGTTGCAGGCTGCAAGAATACAAATGGAAAAATCTAAAGTTTCAAACTTTAATGAACTTCAAATAAAAATAAAATATAATTTACTCGATATGCTGACCAAACCACGGTGCATCCTGAATTTGAAAAAAACAAAAAAAACAAACAAGGCAAAGTAATGGAGGCTGAAATGTAACATTTAGACTCAATTCATACACTTAGCCCAACATAACTCAATGCCAAGCAAGAAGGTATCTGATGTAATGTTGCAAATGCAAAATCTTCAATCGGCACATGAATTTTTAGTTTTTGCTTTAGCCACGGTCAGCTTGTCAGAAGGAGACACACCTGAGTCCTGAATTAATGATTTGTATTAACTATTCATTAATGAACATTACTGTGTTGTAGCATATCAGTCTCCCCACCGAGAGCTACTGCAGGATGTATTCCAGTCACTCACCACAAGGGGGCAGCAAACGTCTTTATGAAAGACTACAAACCAACTCAAACTGCGCCTTCTCTGCTTGTTCCCATCAAAACGGCAGAAATGTAATTCACCTCAGCACAAGAGCCCTACCAACACTGACTTTGGCAGCGTGATGAACATCAAACAGTTCACGAGGTAATTCATGCGGTGCTCCAAATAAGCAGTGCTGTTGAGCAATTAAACTTCAGGTATGGTGCGGCACCTGTTATGATGAATAAGCTGCAGGAACATTCAGCTGAGAGGTCAGTCTGACTGAGCTGTGCTGTAAGGTGTGATTGTTGCAGGGTGTAAAGTAGGGCAGGAGATAGGAGAGCTTGTCAGAAGTTATATGGAAATGAGAGCAGCGGGCTGCAGACACTGAACCATGTTATGGGATCAAATTCAACAACAGCTTGAACAGAAAAGAAAGCGGCTCTAAGAAAATATTAAAAAAAAAAAAGGGGAGAGAGAATTGCTTTAGCCACGGTCAGCTTGTCAGAAGGAGACACACCTGAGTCCTGAATTAATGATTTGTATTAACTATTCATTAATGAACATTACTGTGTTGTAGCATATCAGTCTCCCCACCGAGAGCTACTGCAGGATGTATTCCAGTCACTCACCACAAGGGGGCAGCAAACGTCTTTATGAAAGACTACAAACCAACTCAAACTGCGCCTTCTCTGCTTGTTCCCATCAAAACGGCAGAAATGTAATTCACCTCAGCACAAGAGCCCTACCAACACTGACTTTGGCAGCGTGATGAACATCAAACAGTTCACGAGGTAATTCATGCGGTGCTCCAAATAAGCAGTGCTGTTGAGCAATTAAACTTCAGGTATGGTGCGGCACCTGTTATGATGAATAAGCTGCAGGAACATTCAGCTGAGAGGTCAGTCTGACTGAGCTGTGCTGTAAGGTGTGATTGTTGCAGGGTGTAAAGTAGGGCAGGAGATAGGAGAGCTTGTCAGAAGTTATATGGAAATGAGAGCAGCGGGCTGCAGACACTGAACCATGTTATGATAAAATTCAACAACAGCTTGAACAGAAAATAAAGCGGCTCTAAGAATCAATAAAAAATAATAAAAAAAAAAATTATATTGTGTTATATTATATTATATTATATTATATTATATTATTATAGGCTGTAAATATCAAAGTGGGCTTATCAGCTCATCCTACTGTTTTCTAGATCGCACCTTTTGAAGCCTCA